TTTTTAAATTTTTTTTTTATTATTATTTTTTTGTGCATGTACCATCAAATCAGATCTGACTGGTACAGGAGGAAATTATCCCTCCTTCTCCGGCAGAGCATCTGGTGGATTCGCACCATGTACCTTTGGGATTGCAGTACAGCTTCTTGCCACTAGGCCACCAATGCTCCCCTGAAAATAGCATTCTTTTTTTTTTTTTGGAGTTAAAAGGTTATATATAATTCAGGTTAATAACAAAATGCAGTCAAGACAACTCCCAAAATGTACACACAGACACCTCAGCCTCAAGCCTCTTGTCTCAACGTGTTCCCAAGTTCTCAGTCTTGCCAATACTGATTTCTCTCTTAACTGTCCAATAATTTGTGGTGCTGGAGAAGAGTGCTGAATATACCACAGACTGCCAAAAGAACAAACACAACTGCACTGGATAGCATGAAACCATATTGCTCCCTGGAAGGCAAGGATTTTGAAGTTCCATGTCACATACTTTGGGCATGTTACGAAGAGGGACCAGTCCCTGGAGAAGGCCATCATACTTGGAAAGGTAGCGGGTCAGTGCAGGAGAAGATCATGGATGAGAAAATAGCATTCTTAAACATCATCAAATTTTCCTGGAAGCTGCACAGATAACTAAAATGTGTAGGTTTCCAATAATTTCCTCCCATAAAACAGCCTGAATACCAAGGATAGGCCAATTGGTCTATTTAAATTGAGACTTTTATTTGTTGGTAAATGATAATAGATGGATAAGTCTGACAAGAATGGTGCAAGTGCAGGGAACCTGAAAACAACAGTAATATCCTGTGTTAGATTTTGATCTCATGTTTCAGAGACTCCACCAAACTGTTAAGAGAGGTTGGCAAGGGTTCCAGATAGTTATGGGATTGTTCAAAAGGTTTGCCTGCTCCCTAGGTGGAACTGCTGCTTGATTTCCCTTACTATGAAACATTCATTACTCAGAAGGCACTGACTTCTGTGGAATTTATCTTTCTTCTCAGACTGGGATCAGATACAGACCATAGACTCTTTGCTCAGGAAAGGTGGCTTTAAAGCTCCGATAACCAGTGAATTCAGAAAAACGATCAAACTTACCAGGTAAGACATTGTCTTATATTCCTTGTTATTTCAGTTTAATTGGGCTTAGATGGAAGAAACTTGATGGAAAAGGAAAGAAAAGAAATTTCTCTGCTAATGTCCCTGAATTAAAGTATGGACAAGGTTTAAGGTCTGAGAAAGTAGTAGCCACACATGTAAAGACCTTCCCACAGCACCCTCTGCACTGCCACAGCTTACCTGATCCCAGAATTGGAGCAGGATTTGGGCTGCTGAGCAACTGGCATATGGCTTTGCAGGCCCCACTTGGTTGGAGTTCTGAGGGCAGAGAATGAAGTTAGGAGAGAAGGCTCTAAGTATGGAAATAAAGCAGTGACCTCTGTATAGCTCAAGCTATCTGGTGGCTGGGCATACTAACAGAATAATCAGAAATGCTTTTTAACAGAAATTAGAAGGAAGTACCTCCCTTATTCGGGATGTATACTTCTGTGGGGAAGCTACCTAGTATGTTAGAATGCATGATAACTTTGGCATTTGAACCCAAACTTTATCACTTACTAGCTGTATAACCTAAGCAAGTAATTCACTTCTAAACCTCAGGGTTGTTTTAGGACAAGCTAAGATAATGTAAATAGAATTTTTAGCCCAGGGTCTTACAACACTATAAGTAGTCACAGGATGTCACTTCTGTTCCCATCCATATGACATCAGCAGTACTGAGGGCTTAGAGTCTGTGAGCCTTTGTAGCCTCCTCATCTGTAAAATGCTGATAATCATATACTAACCTCACAGGTCTGTTTGGAAGATAACCAAGTGTTTTTGAAATGCTTTGGATTCCAAAAGAAAAAAGAGAAAAAGAACACTTCAAATACAAAGCATTACTATTATTATTATTATTATTATAATTTATTTGAACAGCCATTTCCCTGTCAAAATTCAGGAATAATCACCTTGCAGTGGAGGAGTGATTACAGTGGGAAAGAGATGGCTCTGGGTAAGGATTGTCACACCCAGCTCCTGTGGTCTGTAGTAGGCTCCATAGGTTTGTAACACCCCATGCTTTGCATCCTGACTCATGGCTCTTTTCTAAGAGCAAAGCCAAAGTGCTCTGAATTCTGTTCTGATGGCCCTGTGATATGACATGTTCATCTGGGAATTTAGACCTGTTTTTCTATAGCCCCAGGATCCTTGAAGCTGCTTCATCAGAATTTGACCCAGAACTAGGTATCTGTCCCCCTCTTAGTTGTAAAATAACATCTTTGTTGTTGTTTTGCAAATTGAGGTACATACTGTATTTCTGTCAAATTGATTACTTTTTAACCTATATGTAGATATGCAGTTTAAGCTGGGCTTTGGTGCAGCTGTCTTCAAATATACCACCTTTGAAATTCATCATCCAAATCCTAATAGCAGATTGCTTATGAGCACCCTGAAATGATAAGCATATGTAGTGTTTAAAGGTGGGATGTTCTGAAAAGACATTTCTCGGGTGTGAATTGTGATTGTGCTTTTTCATCTTGTTCATTTGTAATAATAACATTGTTTTCTTGTGCTGTCTTTCATTTTCTGTAAATAAGATTGCTCTTGGTCGCCCATTTTATTCTTTTAAATGTATAGAATAAGTTTTTGGTTTTCTCTGCTGAGTAACTCTACAAGATGAATGGTGTCTGGTTCCTGATAGTCTCTCCTGGTTCCCTATACAGGTACCGAAGTGAGAAGGTGACAATCAGTTATGCAGAGTATATTGCTTCTCGCCAACATTGTTTCCAGAATGGCACTCTTCATGCCCCACCCCTCTACAATCATTACTCCTGACACACGGCTGCATGACCAGTCCCATCCCCCTGTGGCCACCAATGGCTATGACATCATTGGAGCAGACTCCTCCTCCTCCTGGTCCAGTTACTTCTATTACTGCACCATTTTATGATGCTAGCTTCCGTTGCCAAGTCTGCCTCTGACTGAGGGGATGGCAGGGTTACATGGAATGAAACAGAACTTGAGGGGCCCAAGCCTTATCTCAGCCTTTCCTCAGTATGGGGTTTAGTTGGATTTGGGGCTCCTCCACAATTAGTAAGAATTATTCTGGGTTCTGAAGACCTTTGACATGTAGGTGCCACTGTGACTTGCTGGGTGTGCATTGACCACAGAGTGGGAGCTGGAATTGAAGGTCCATGAAAGCTTATCCCACTCACATCCTTATAAACCTCCCAGGTCAAGTAGATATGTTCCCCTGGCAGTCTGGGCAACGGAGACCAGTAAGAAACATTTTTAGGTTCTTTTAAATTCCTTTTTAAAAAAACTTCCAGTTTATTGCACACCAAGAGTTGATCACAACCACCATGCTTCATAACCAGACGCCATGTTAGGGTTGAGTGCAGGCACCTTGAGTTCTTGGAGGCTTCTGGACAGAGACCCACTTCAAGATCAGAAGCCCTTTGGCTGATGTTGCAAATCTCATTTTATTGTCAGTTTGATTTTCTGGCATTCTTTCTGCATTGAATCTCCTGTTATTACACAGCACAGTAATGTAGCCTGCTGAAGAATGGAATGAAGAGGCCTATGGAGCGGCCTGATATCATCGCTGTGAACCTGTGAAAGGAGAACACTCTTCCTTATCACCAGGCTACCTCACTCCTGTACTGGTAGCAGTGCCTATATCTGTACGTAGGTTCTCAGAAATCACAGAGTCAGACAACGAGCTGGATGGGCTTCCCAACACATGTTAGCATAGGAAAGAATCCAGGGTCTCCAAACTCTTTTTCATGTCAGGCAAGCATTCTAAAGGACCTTTAAACAGGAGAGTTCCTACGAGACTTTAAAACAAAACTATAACAAGATGAATCTTAATCTTGCCTAACATGCTGGAACTCTTCACCCCTCCAGGGGAAATTCCTAAATAACTTATTTTATTTATGAATATTCAAACTTAACATATGATTTATTCCTTTCCCCATTGTTGCTGATTTCCAAATACCAGTCCAGCAGGTATCTCTCCTACTCCCTCTTTACTCACTTGGAGGCAGAGTTCATAGAACTAAGGGATTTGGATGCTGCTTTGATAACATTGTAACAAGGCACTGCAAAAGTCATTCACAGAAGGAGGTGGCCAGTTGGAAGAAAGGATCCTAAGGATGTTAATACTGGTTTTCAGTGTGTTTAGAGAACTCATGGAGTAGATTGGATGTCAATCCAGCAAACACAATTGATTTCATGTATTTGTTAAAGTTTATGTGGTGATAGTGTAGCTTTTCAAAATGGATATATAAGAGCTCTTTTGAGTTTCAGTCTATCAGAATGGGACAGGGGGAATAGGGGCACCATGTAAGAAATATCATCATGCTATTCTAGGCATCACTCTCCTGTTCTTGGGGAAAAGCAAGAGAGAGTGGATTTGCTTGTCACTGTCCTCTGCTGTTGACAAGAATGAGGGAAGTGTGGACTGACAACAGACACCCATGTCATGTCACCTGTTTTAACTGTTGGGTTTGCCCATGCTGCCATTTTTCTCTTGAAAACTCCTTGAAGATGAAGTGACTGTTTCAGGATTTCCTCATGCTGAGAATAATCAATCAGTCTTGTACTGTGGCTTGATAGCTCTGAACTAAACCATCCATTTTTAATTTGTATAACAGTATTGGCACATAGGGCTACACTCATTAATGTTCACGTGTTCTCTGTCAAAAGCTGTGTTTAATTTCTAAAAATTGAAAAAGCAAAAAAAAAATTGGTGCTAAACTTTCACCCCTGAGCACGCTCAGTGAGACTGGTCATGCAAGCGTTTATAGTGCCATGCTTCTCATGCCCTGTACAAACGTTATCTTGTCTGTCTGCCCCAATATACAGTTTTTTAATGTGTTTTAATTTTATTGAGGATGTGGTAGGATACTTGCCATTTAAGAAAATGAACAGGAACTTTTAAAACACATGAGATTGGGAGGAGGGCAATCAATGCACAAGAATCAGGCTAGGAAAGTCCAGCACCACACTAAAGTGTGCTCTGGGCATTAGAGTAAATCTTTATTCTCTCCACATTTTTTCATCACCCAAGTCCAACAGTGGAAATGTTTGAGTTTTATGTTTACCAAGGATAACTTTTTGGCCTTGTAGGGAATGGCATTGTTGGGGTCAGTTATGAAGTAGGTCTAGTTAGAAAGCACACCGGACGTGAAGAGTCGTGGTTGCCTCATGGCTCAGGATCATCCATGTGGCAGCTTTGCATTGGGAAGCTTTGTCTTCCGCATGCTTGACCAAATCAGTGAAGAAAGTGGTCAGTTAATGGTGTGGTTGGTAGGTTTTTGAGAAACGGAATGTTTTCTGCTAGTGTTTCCTTTGCCATTGGGTTGTTGAAGCTGAGAGTAGATAACCAGTTTCTAAGGAACCGACCTAACTTTTCTAGGTTGGTTCAGAGTTTGTTCATCCCTAGCTGTGCCTTTTGGTGGTGGTTCATAAACTCACAGCTAGGACATTCTCTTTGTGTAATTATGAATTGTCTTTGTTTTACATTGAAAGAAAACGTCTGATCACTAGAGTTTGTTGGTGTTGGATTGTTTCCACTGTGAGGTCCTTAAAAACTTTTCATAATAGTAAAGCATAATAGAGATCCTTTCAGCAAGAAAGATTTGTAGTTGAGATATTACATTATTTTATTGTTTATAATATACAGAAGTCCTGGGTGTTAATATTTGCACAAGATCTATATGTTAACATCTACAATTACACTAACTGTTGATGTTATTTTCTACTGGAATTCTGGAACCTAGGAAGCCGGTGTGTTGTTTGTTTTCCTTCTTATTTCCCTGAAGCAGAGACTTTGTATGGCCTTCATTACAATGACTTCAGACCAATTCTTTGTATTACTTTTGGTTGCCTCTTGGCTATATAACTTCTGAGTGCAAATCATTGAACTCTTTAACAAAGTATTATAGAGAATAAATCATAATGGTAAAAAATTGTTCTTTGTCTTGCTGGGCTGTTGGTTTTTTTTAAACCCACATGATTTGTATATGAAAAATTATACCTTTTAGTTTATCATTTTTAGTCTGCATATTTTATTTTATGGAGCCAAATGACCTTGCTTGTTTTTCTATGGATTGTGGAAATGCCTAATGAAACTGACCTTGTTCAAGAAGTTATGACTGAAAAAACCATCTTTTATAAATTTTATTTTTTTATTGAAATATACACCACAAAACATACTAAACTAACGTTTCTACATGTACATTATCTTAATTCTTGTGCAGACATTCTCACTGTCTCTAATTTATTATTAACACCACTAATATAAATTCACTGCATAACATCTACTAGTTGTTCTGATGGCACTTCTTTGATGGTTCGAATTGAGCAACTCTACGGGAGAAAGATGGGCCATTTCTTCCTGTGTAGAGTTGAGCTGCCAAACAAAACTGCAGGCAGTTTGAATCCATTAAGCTGATGTAGGAGAGAATGATATGTAGTCTTCTCCCATAAGGTTGACATTCTGAAAACCTGCTGGAGGATCAGCTATGAGTTGGTCCCAATTCAAAAGCAGAGTTGCTGTTAATTTAATTCCATATAGGTTTTTTTGTTGTTGTTGTTGTTGGTTCTTTAAAAAGAGCACCATGTTGAATGAGCATGAAAGTCCACAAAGACTTTAAGTACCTACTGGCATCTTAAAAGCTTGGAGGCTTTTAATCTCTTCCTATTTACAACAAAGAATAGGAAAGAAAAAGATGCATAGAAAATATTAGTCTTAACCACAACCCTGAGACCAGCACTACTAAATGGTGCTTAGGTACCACTGTCGAATCAAAAATGGGTCACATTAGAATGTCCCGGATAGAGTGGGTGAAAACGTATAAAGCTAAAAAATTACCAGGTCTACAGATCAAGTAGAGACTGGTGAAATCTCTGAAGATTATGGCTTTTAGTCACCCTTTAAGCCTGGAATAAAATAGCTCTTGGCTTAACATTCAGAAAAAAATCAGGCCTATGAGGTGAACATGACACAAGGGAAGCATTCCTTAATCACAGATCAAGGGAGCTCTGGTGGCTTAGTGGCAAGAAGCATCACTACAATCCCAGAGACGTGCAGTTCAAATCCACCAGATAGTCTGCTGGAGAAGGAGGGGCATTCCCTTCCTGTAACAGTTAGATCTGATTTGATGGTACACACACACAAAATTTTAATTAAGTTTTAAAAATTATTTTTAATGTGTGTACCGGCAAATCAGATCTGACAGGTATAGGAGGAGACTGTCCCTCCAGCAGAGCATCTGGTGGATTTGAATTGCATGCCTCTGGGATTGCAGTGCAGCTTCTTGCCATTAGGCCACCAGAGCTCACCAAAAAATAATAAAAAAAATCACAGATCAAAAGGGCACATGTGCGAGCTCTAGTGGCCTAGTGACAAGAGGCTGCACTGCAATCTCAGAGGTGAGTGGTTTGAATCCACCAGATGCTCTGCTGGAGAAGGAGGAACAATCTCCTGTACCAGTCAGATCTGATTTGACCGTGTACACAAAAAATAATGAAATAAAAGGGGGGGGGCACATGTTAGGTGCCATAGAGTACAACTCATAGTGACCCCATGAACAACAAATCTGAATCTTGTCCTATCCTTATAATCTCTTAAATACTTGAGACCATTGCTACAGTCACACTGTCAAACCATCTTGTTGAGGATCTTCCTTTCTTTCACCGACCATGTCTTTCCAAGCTTGTCAGTTTCCAAGGAATAGTCCTTCTTAACAACGTATCTAAAGAATCTGAGACTAAGCTTTGCCATCCTTGCCTCTAAGCATTCTGGCTGCACTTTTCTTTAAGACACACTTGTTTGTTCTTTTGGCAGTCCATGGGATACTTTTCTCCAACACTGAAACCTCAAAGGCATTAATTCTTTTTCTGTAATCCTTATTGTCTACCTTAGATGCATCAGGTACACATAGACTATACTGAGTGATAGAGCTCAGATCTTTGAAAATTAATGAAAAAAAAATCACATGGAGAACATGGGTTACAATGTGTCTATGGAAATTAATGTCAGAAAAAAAAAGTTTAGAAATAGTTGAATAAAAAACCAGTATGCTTTCAAAACTTTCATTCAAATAAAGTACTATGCTTGAGTCAGACATCCCGTTCTAAGCTAAATTTGTTTGGCTTAAATATGACTTCAAGGAATAATTGTTTTAAAGATTATTTTAGCAAGAAGTCAATAAAAATACTCAAATCCTACAATTCTTTTGTACCCGAAAGAGTTGGTCAACATGAGACCATTTCAGGAAATGATCAAGAGCCGATAATACTAAAGGATAAAGTCCACAATGCAAAGACATTAGCAAAAAAAATAAGGCTGCAAAACCAAGGTGTGTAAGAAACAGAGGCAGCCCTGGACTTGCTCACTAATCTATGCCACCTGGACAATTGATTGGAAAATATCCATGTTTGTTACCAGCACCAAAAAAAGGTGAGCCAACTGAAGGTAGAAATTATCAAACAACATCATTATCACATGCAAGTATATTTATGCCTAAGAATATTAAAAAATGGTTGGGAACAGTATGTTAACATAAACCTTCCAGAAATTCAAGCTGGGTTCAGAAAAACTATGAAACAGAGATTCCTGGTCAGATGGATCTTAGATGAAAACAGAAACATGTGCTTGTGTTTTCTTGATTGAACATTGAACTGTGTAGATCATAATAACTTATTAATCACATTGAAAAGAATTGGAATTCCAGAACATTTAATTCTGTGAATGCAAAACCAATGCACAAAAAATATAACAGAAACAAAAAACAAAACAATGCACAAACCAAGAAGCAGTTAT